TAGGCTTAGGTATGGGTTTAGGGTTACCGTTAGCATTAGGGTTAGGTTAGGTATGGGTTAGGGTTACCGTTAGCATTAGCATTACGGTTAGGTATGGGTTTAGGGTTACCATTAGCATTACAGTAGGGTTAGGTATGGGTTTAGGGTTACCGTTAACATTAGGGTTAGATATGGGTTTAGGATTACCGTTAGCATTAAGGTTAGGTATGGGGTTTGTTCTTCTACAATGTGGTGCTGCAACATGAGGTTTACTGTATTTAAATCAGATAAAATGTCTGTTTTCAGGGTTAGGGTTATTGATTTATTTAACCAGGAAAAGGCTCATTGAGATTAAAAACCTGTTTCTAATGTCCTGGCCCAGACAGGAAGCAGCACAGTGGCTCCACCTGGTGGCTGGATGTTGTCACTGCGGAAGAACTGAACAGACGCTCAACTTCAATCAGGTTTTATTTTTATTTCAGACAAAAAGCAGAAGCCCTTTTCAACAATTTTCTTTTGTCCATCCATCCCCTTTTAAAGTCCATCCTTCTGAAGATCAATGTTATTGATTGATCGATTAGTCAGCTGACTGAAAACCTCATTTCTCATCAGGAGCTGAAACCACAACAGAAACATTTCCAAACGCAGCAGCGCCTCCTATGGTCGACTCAGAACAAATCAAGGAGCTAATCTGGTTTGTAATGTGCTGCAGGCTCCAGCAGAGGGCGGCGAACACATTGAAACAGATTAACTCCTGGTTCAGTTGTCTTTGGTGCATCAACCACAGAATACTTCCAACAGGAGTCGACTGTTGTTGTGCTTTGTGCTGATTTAACCACATGGTGGCGCTGCACTGTGATTCAGTGCAATTTCAATAAATAAATACAAAAGACAACTCTTGGACTGATGATGAAACTTATTTCAGGAGGCTAAACCTGAAACTGTTAGAAGCTAGAACACAAATGATTAGAAACCTCAGAGGACCCAGGTTTGATCCCTGCGGGACGCAAAAACTCACATTTTATCGTCCAAACAATGCAAAACTCAAAAACAACAAACTGGTACTTTTTCCTTTTGTTGTTATTTACGGCTAAACAGGCCTCAAACTAACAACTACTTTCACCGTCAACTATTTTCTAGATCGGCAGATTCGCTCCGTTAGCTGCTTGGTCTAAACATTCAGATTCCGACACAAACTAAAAAAATATCCACATTAAATAATAGTGTTTTTCTTCAAACATAAAATAATTTAGTCACTACAAGCTGACCTGGAGCTAACAGAGCTAACGTTCAGGAAACTCTGAGGATGAAACGAGCAGAAAACATCTGAGACACCAGACGTTTATCGAAGCTTTAACAGCTGTGAAAACCAAAGTGAGACGATTTACGGATTTTTTCTGTTTGTCTACGTAAAGTCTTGTTTTGCTTGGTTCAGTATTTATGCTCATGAGACGTTTCAGGAATGCGGCTAATCAACAAACTTCTGATTTCCATCACGTCTGAGCTCCAAAGTGATAAATAAACCAGCAGGTGGCGTTTAGTGCAGATTAACGGTGTTTGTTACGTTTACAGAGCAGCATATAAAATATAAAACTGTACATGTAGAACAGCAGAAACATACTGAAGTCTGTAGAGCAAAGCTTAAAGCTTCTGCTGTGGATGAACCACAGACTCTGAACAACGTTATTCTGACTCCTGTTTGCAGCTTTGAGTTTGTTCTAAAAGCTGCAGGTTAGAAAACAAACTCCAGGAACTGAAGTCCGTGTTGTTTACCTCATTTGTTTAGCAGAAAAGACACTTAAAAGGTTTAAATAAATGGAATATTTCCATAAATATGTGCAGTAGAGCCGATACAGATACACGCTGTCCATCAGGTTCTGACCAGTCGGACGGTTCCAGAGGTCCAGGTGGGTTTTTACAGGTGCTTTATGCTTTAATGGTGATTCTGATCGTTTGTCTTTTTGGACTTTATTGATCCTAACGATCAATAACACAAAGAATCTCGACCAGAATTTGGACAGTACTTGAGGAAGCTGACCACATGTTCTCTGAGCTCTGAAGCCGTCTTAAATCCTCTGAGACTCAGTTCAGACAGAAACTACAACGCTTTTAGAAAGTTGAAAACACAAACGGATGCAAACCGAAGAGGATCCAGGTTTGATCCCTGAGGGACGCCACGGAACCAAAAACTCAGCTTCACACCAAACGGATCCCAAGCTGAGGTATAAAGCAGCACAAGGTAGCAGCGTGGGAACACTGAGGAGGACACGAGGCCGGACGTCTGAGCCGGTTGTGTTTTCACGAGGATCAAACTTTGTTGTGTAATTCTGCTCTGAACTGGACTCTGGATTCATCGGGCAGATGTTTGGTCTGGATGTGATGAACATGTGGTTTCGTGTTCCTCCAGATGAGGTCACTTTACTGTGATGGAGGCAGAACGACACCAGAAGAAGCTCAGAGTAGATAAAGACTGGTGAGCTGGAGCGGAAGTTTATCAGCAGGACTTTACATGTGAGCGGCGGGGCTACCTGCGACAGGTGTTCCCTTGTCTGGCGCCTGATTGGAGGATAAAGGAGTCCATATAAGGAGCCGCTAGAACAAAGTGAAACCTGTCAGCAGCAGAGCCGGCATCAGCGTCAGGTGGACCGGCAACCAATCAGCTGCAGCGCCCGACGGAGGAGAAGTGGCTAACGCAGTTAGCTTCCCTGCAACACAAAGAGGCAGCGTCAACACAGACTCACAACAGACACAACAGAC